AGCAGCCTGTSGCTTCTTGCTCCCCCTTCCCTCCGCAGCCGCCTTATCCCGCTCCCTAGGGAGGGTGACTCTTGGGAAGCACCATGGGAATAAGAACCTGTGGCTGGGACACTGGAGTCCCTGCTTGGGGTGCCCRTCACGGGATGTGGCTGGAGCAGCGATGGGGCCTGCATGTGTCATGGTACTCCCTGACCCCCGGGCGTTTCTGTCCCGTCCCCTGTCCCGCAGACACGGGGTTTGGCACCATCTACACCTCGGATGACCGAGGCATCGTGTACTCCAAGTCCTTGGAGCGGCACCTCTACACCACCACGGGCGGGGAGACGGACTTCACCAACGTCACCTCGCTGCGGGGCATCTACATCACCAGTGTCCTCTCGGAAGGTGCGTGACCGTGGGGGCTGGGATGGCCCGTCCTGGCTCTGTCCCCGTCTGCGCAGCAGAGTTGGGCAAGACCTGACCCTGGGGTGGCGAGGGGAGCGGGACTCCCACTGTGACCCGTTGGGGACTGGAGATGTGGGGCTGAAGAGCAGCCGTCCCCCGTGGGACACGGAGCGTGAGGAGCTGCTGAGCCCCCTGCCAAAAGCCGAGGCCTCCCGTCTGCTCTTCCCTCCTGCCASCAGACAACTCCATCCAGTCTGTGATCACCTTCGACCGCGGCGGCGAGTGGGTGCCGCTGAGGAAGCCGAAAAACACCACGTGTGACTCCACGGCCAAGAACAAGGAAGAGGTGGGTCTGTCTTGCGGTGCCCGGGGCTGCTTTCCTGGGGACTGTGGCCACCCCGTGGGGACCTGCAGCCCAGGGCTAATCTCCAGGGTGACACTGTCTCACCATCTGTCCCCACCATGGCTGAGATTGGGCTGCATACTGGTCGGGGGGRGCACAAGGATGCAGAAGGGCAAGTGGCTTCGTGCTGCAACCCCAGCAAGGGGACAGGGCCCTCTCTGGGATGGGTAGTGGGTGGCACCTCTAAGCAGGCTAACGCTACTGGGGTGTCCCCAGCACCCAGTGGGTGCTAAAGACCAGTCCTGGGGAGAGTGTCCAGCTCCTCGGCTGTGCGTTGGGGACAGAGCCACTGTTAGAGTTGGCCTCGGCGGTGCCCAGCAGGCCACCAGGGTTGTCCCCCACCCCCGCGCGTTCCCGCTCGCTCCTGGACGGGCTCCTCTCTCCCGTTTGCAGTGCAGCCTCCACATCCACGCGTCCTACAGCATCTCCCAGAAGCTCAACGTGCCCATGGTGCCGCTGTCCGAGCCCAACGCCGTCGGCATCGTCATCGCCCACGGTACCCAGTGGCGCCGGCTGTGGGGAAYGGGCCCCATAGGGGTCACAGCCAGGGGACACCGCTTGGTGCTGGCACCCACGGGTGGGAGGGCGAAGGACCCAGCCTCGCGTCCCTCCATCTGACGCCGTCCCCACGTTCCAGGGAGYGTCGGCGGGGCCATCTCGGTGATGAGCCCGGACGTCTACATCTCGGACGACGGGGGCTACACGTGGGCGCGGATGCTCGAGGGGCCGCACTACTACGCCATCCTCGACTCCGGCGGCCTCATCGTAGCCATCGAGCACACCAGCCAGCCCGTCAACGTCATCGAGTACGTGCAAGCCCGCCCCGCTCTGCCTGYCGGCCCGGCTTGCTGGCCCCGCTCCCCATCCGAACCCTTTCCCGGCAGGTTCTCCACGGACGAAGGGCAGTGCTGGTATAAATACACTTTCTCCAAGGACCCCATCTTCTTCACCGGCTTGGCCTCCGAGCCCGGCGCCAGGTCCATGAACGTCAGCATCTGGGGCTTTCGGGGCAACTTCCTATCCCGCAAGTGGGTCTCCTACACCATYGACTTCAGCGAGCTGCTCAGCAGGRCGTGTGAGTGCCCCCGCGGGGGCGTTGGGCCGGGGGGYGCTCCCGTGTCCCTCGGGTCCCGCTCGGCGCCCGGGGCCGGCGCGAGCCGCGGTCTGAGCGCCCTGCGTCGCAGGCGAGGACAAGGACTACACCATCTGGCTGGCGCACTCCAGCGACCCGAGCGACCCCAGCGACGGCTGCATCCTGGGCTACAAGGAGCAGTACCGGCGCCTCCGCAAGTCCTCCGTGTGCCAGAACGGCCGGGACTACGTGGTGACCAAGCAGCCGTCYGTCTGTCCCTGCACCCTTGAGGACTTCCTCTGGTAGCCCTTGACTCGACACCTCGTGCTACTAACAACCCCCTTGGTGCCACCGGGGCTTCCCTCCTGCCCGGGGGCTCCGGGCGGCCTCTGATGTCCCGCTCTGCCCTTCTGCCCGCAGTGATTTCGGCTACTACCGCCCCGAGAACCAGTCTGTGTGCGTGGAGCAGCCGGAGCTGAAGGGGCACGACCTGGAGTTCTGCCTGTACGGCAGGCAGGAGCTGCTCAAGACGAGCGGGTAACGCGCTCCCCGACCTCCCCGTGGGGCGAGCGCGGCTCGGCAGCGCTGGAGCTGGGAATGCCGGATCCCTGTGGAGGTCTTCAAGCCTCATCTCCGTTCCAGGTACCGGAAGATCCCAGGAGACAAATGTTCCGGAGGAGAAAGTCCAAGCCGGGAGGAGACTGACATGAAGAAGAAATGCACCAGCAATCTCCTGAGCCCCAGCCAGCTGGTGGGTGGCAGCGGGGCGGGAGCGGGGACAGCAGCGACCYGGGGGACAGCTGCTGCCCATGGCCCCATGGTCACTGCTAAACTGCAGGACTGTCCTGCCTAAACCTGCCTCCGGGCTTCAGCCTGGGGGCCAGATGGGCACATTTCACTGGGGGGCACATGTTTAAATCTCACAGCCATCGAATCCCTGCACCCTTTCCCATCTGCTCCGCAGGCAGCATCCACCAGCTCCACTCCCATCGTCCTGGCCGTGATGGGCCTGCTGCTCGTCACCGCCGTGGCCGGCGTGCTGCTCGTCAAGAAATACGTGTGCGGAGGCAGGTGAGGCTCCGGGCGCCCGCCCGCCGGGGCTGCAGCGCCGTGCCTGCGCCTCTGCTGCCCTTGCCGGTAACGAAGGCAGCTGCTAATTGCTCAGTTCGCCTCAGGAGCTGGTGTGGGGGGCACGGGTTGCGCTGCTGGACCTGGCGAGCGGGGTGGCCGGGGCTGGAGCCCTCGAGCCCCGATGGCACTGGCCGTAGAGGCCGGTCACAGAGTCCAAATAGCGTCAAAAGGCCGATCGCCCTTCTGGGAAGGCCGGGCGCCMGAATCCTGGCGGCCAGTGCGGGGCGGGCGCTGACGCCGCTGCCGCCGCCAGGTTCCTGGTGCATCGCTACTCGGTGCTGCGRCAGCACGCGGAGGCCAGCGGCGCGGACGGCAGCGACGCGCTGGAGCCCGTGGCGCCGGCCACCAAGGGCGGCTACCACGACGACTCGGACGAGGTGAGCGCGGCCACGGGCGCCCGTGCCGCCCCGGCCCGGGGCACCCCCCGTGACGCCCCCTCCTCCCCGCAGGAYCTGCTGGAGTAGCCGCACGGCCGGGACCCGCGGGGCTGCCCGGCGCCTCCRGCCTCGCGGCCGCCCCGGCTCCACCGCCCGCGCGGGGGCATCGCTGCTGGGCTGCCGCCACGGGGACACGCAGGGTTTTAACCTCACTTGATTTTAATATTTCTTTCCAGCTGTTGGGGACGGGACTTTTTTTTTGTTTTGTTTTTGGTTGTTCGGTTGTTTTTCTTTGTTTTGGCCGTTTCTTTTTTGTTTGTTTTTTTTTCTTTTTTTTTTTGTTTTTTGTTTTTTTGTTTTTTTGTTTTAAGGACGACTCAGTAGGAATGTGAAAGGACCTTCACCAAGTGCTCGCGTCGCCGGCTGCCCGCGGGCAGCAGCCCCTCGCCCTGCTCTGCGCGGGGCGCCGGCGGCGCCGCTCCCCCCGGCTCCCTCCTCGCTGCTGCCCCTCTCCCCTCGAAGCAATAGGAGCCGGGACCCCGGGACACGGACCCTGGCGCCGCCGCCTGCCCCCCGTGCCCCCCCACCGCGCTCGCTTTGGCCCAGGGAAATGCAGCAATAACGACTTGAAGCTTGAAGATACTTTTACCGCGAGGCCGGGGGTGGCCGGTGCCCGAGCGGGAGCGGCGCTGGGAGCAGCCCCCCCCCCCCAGCATCGCGCTCGGTCCCTGTCCCCGCTCCGGTGACACCCCCTGCCCGCCCTGCTTTGCCCCTGCCACCTTTCGCTCCCYGTTACCGTCTCCTTACACTGGAAGGCGCCGCCGGCCCCTGCCCTTGCCCCGTGCAGCTTTTGGGGGGGCCGCGGGGGCCTGGGTGGGGTGGTGGGGACCCCCCTTGCTTGCTGGCCCTGTCCCTGCAGCCCCCCTGGGTGTCCCAGTGGCACTGACCCCKGGGGCCGCACGCAGCCCCCTCCCCAAAGCCAGAGCCCTGGGAGGGGAGAATGGGGGACGGGGGGCGGCGGGATGGGGGGGTTGGACCGAGGCCTGTGTAGAGTCCTGTAAATAAACCTGGATGTGTTATAACTTTGTACTGGTATTTTTCTGTATATTTGCAATATTTGGGTTAGAAATAAAGCCGACCTGGACTTTGTGTGAGCTGATCTGTGCGGGCAGCGGGGCAGCCTCGGGCGAAGGCGCTGCCGGTGCAGGGCGGGCACCGGCGGCAGCAGGCGGGAAAAGGGTAGTTAAAAAGACTAAATTTATTCGGGTTTAAGGCAGTTGAACCTCACAGCAGCCAAGCACAAGACGGGCCAGGACGGGGACCTGTCCATGCAGGTGAAAAACGGACTGGTGGCGGGGGGCAAGGTGCCCAGGCCCTGGGGACATCCCGGCTCAGCCCTGGGGGCTCCGCTGTCCCCAGCCCCTGTGGGGCCACCAGGGGAGCCGGGTTCGGGGGGCGTGGGGGACACAMGGGGACGGGACATGGGACAGGTCCCCCCTGCCAGCCTGGGCACAGGGGCAGCTGCCCGGCCCCGCTGTGAGTGATTCCTTATATTGAGGCGGGAACTTGGGAAAACCTCCCGTGGTGACGGTGGCACCGTGAGAGGAGGAGGAGGAGSAGGAGGAGGAGAAGGCCCGTGCGGAGGTGGCAGGAGGCGTCAGGGCTGGGGGGACGCGGGGGGGCCGGCGGCTTCGGGCGCCGCCTGTGGTTTGATGCCCCGGCCCTTCATGTAGGACACGAGCTGGTCGGGGATCTCGGCCAGCACGTCCTTGGCCAGCCGGGCCATGCTGAGCACCTGGTTGCCCGCGCGGTCCATGTAGTCGCGGAAGGGGACGAACTGGCGGGCGAGAGCGGGGACAGCGAGCGGGAGGGTTCCCGGCTCCTGCTGTCCCCCCGCAGCGCCCGGAGCGGCCCCTGTCCCTGGGACATCCCTGTGTCCCCGTGCGGCTCCAGGGCTTCGTTCCTCCCCAGGTCCTGGTGCCAGCCTCTGTCCCCACGTCCTAGCGTGTTCCCGTGCATCCCTGTGTGTCCCCAAGCCTTCATCCCCCCGGGTCTGTCCCTGTGTCCCCTTGGTCTGTCCCTCTGTCTTGGTGCATCCCCGTGCCCCTGTCCTGGTGCATCCCCGTGTGTCCCCAAGCCTTCATCCCCCTGGGTCTGTCCCTTTGGCCTGTCCCACTGTCCTGGTGCATCCCCATGCCCATGTCCTGGTGCATCCATGCGTGTCCCCAAGCCTTCATCCCCCCCTCTTGGCCTTTCCCCGGGTCCCCTCAAGGTCCTGGTGCAGCCCCATCAGACAGGGGTGGCACGGGACAGAGCCGGGGCCACCGCGGCCCCCAACCTGTCACCTGCGGCCAGGCCGGSGGTGGCGCGGGCGCCAGCGCTACCTGCACGATGTCGCGCTCGGCCACCTTGCCGCGGGACGAGATGCGCACGTCGTCGCCGTCCAGCTCCACCATGGCTGCGGGAGCGCCGGCGTCCTCGTCCCGCCCGGCTCCGGCCCCGCGCCCTCCTCCCAGCGCCCCGCTCTTGGGGCTGGCCCCGCTCTTACCGTCGAACTCGGCCTGTCCGACCCCGACGATGATGATGGACATGGGGAGCTTGGCAGCCTGCGGGGAGGCGGCGAGGAAGGCGCCGAGCTCAGCGCACGCTGCTCCATTCCCCGCTGCAAAGCGCAGCCCCGGGGGGACCCAACCAGCCCTTGTGCAGCCTCCTTCTCCCCCGGGTGCAATGAGTTTGCCTGTCCTTTGCAGGCACTGCATCCCCGTGCACCCTGTGGCAGCCTCCCTGCCCTTGGGGGCGCGTTTGGGGACCCCAAACGGGGAGCGAGGGGGTGCTCGGGACCCGGCGCAGGCGGTTGCGCCGGCAGCAGGTGCCGCTTCGCTGCCTTCCTGCCCTCCCACCAGCGAGGCAAGCGCAAGCGAGAGCTGAAGAGGCAGCAAAGCAAATATTCCCAAAGCTCCCTTGCCTCCTCCCCCGTCCGGGGGGGAGGATGAATCCTCAATCTCCCTGAATCACGGGGAAAAGCAGCTCCCGCAGCCTCCCGCGCCTGCGAGGCTGGGCAAGCAGCGCGCGGGCACCTTCCCTGTGCGGCAAGGGCACGAGCCAAAGAGCCGGCGCCTTTCCAACACGCTTCCCGATGCACATTCCTGTGCTTCCCTGCACGCTTCCCGTGCGGCAAGGGCACGAGCCAAAGAGCCGGCGCCTTTCCAACACGCTTCCCGATGCACATTCCTGTGCTTCCCTGCACGCTTCCCRMKGTGCTTCCYCCCTGCTTCCCRATGCACWTYCCTGTGCTTCCCTGCACGCTTCCCGCGGTGCTTCCTCCCTGCTTCCCGACGCACTTCCCTGTGCTTCCCTGCACACTTCCCAATGTGCTTCCCCCCTGCTTCCCGAYGCACTTCCCTGTGCTTCCCTGCACACTTCCCAACAAGCTTCTCTCCTGCTTCCCGACTCACTTCCCTGTGCTTCCCTGTACCAATCCTAATGCACTTTCCCCATGCTTCCCGATGCACTTCCCTGCACATTTCCCGTTGTGCTTCCTCCCTGCTTCCCGACGCACTTCCCTGTGCTTCCCTGCACGCTTCCCAACGTGCTTCSCCCCTGCTTCCCGATGCACTTCTGCCTTGCACCCGGAGGCGAGGYGGGGGGCGAGCAGGACCCTCCCCATGTACCCTCCCCTCCTAGGACCCCAAGCTGGAGGTGACCCCCCCGGCCCAGCCGGCCCCCCAGCCTGGCCCCCTGCGTCCCCCGCGGGTCGCGGTCCCCGGCGCCCCCCGCTCACGTTGACGATGGCCTCCTTGGTCTGCGCCATGTCGGAGATGACGCCGTCGGTGATGATGAGCAGCACGAAGTACTGGGAGCCGTCGGGCACYGCGGCGGCCGCGCTGCGCGAGCCCCTCTCAGCCGGCAGGTCCCCAGGGCGCCCCGCGCGGGCACGGCGACACGGCCGCCTTACCGGGCCACGTGGTTGACCACGGGGGCGAAGTTGGTGGGGCCGTAGAGCTGCACGCTCTTGAGGCTCTTGTGATAGGCCTCCAGGATGCCCTCGATGCCGCTGCACGAGGGGTTGGCAGCGTCGCCGTTCTGCGGGATGGGAYGGGATGGGAYGGGACGGGATGGGATGGGATGGGACGGGGGGTGAGGTGACAAGCCGCGGAGGGGCCACCCCGGCGCAGCCTCACCAGTGGGAACTCATGGGACACGCGCCCGTCCGGCGGGATCTTGGCGCCGAAGCCGAGCGCGGGGAACATCTTGTCGCTGTCGTAGTCCTGGATGATCTCGCCCACGGCCCTGAGCGCCATGGTGTAGGCGTTGAGCTGGTAGGGGCTCATGTAGTGCAGCGAGGTGGACTGCGACGGGTTGCCTGCGCGGTGCCGCCCGCGCGTCAGCCCCAGGCCACCGGAACGCGCCCGGCCCCGCGGGGACGGCCCCCGGCCGCGCTCACCGTTGGACGCCGTGAAGTCGATGGCCACCGTGAAGTTGATCTGGGTGCTGGGGACGAGCGTCACAAGAGCCCCGGGYCGGGGGGGACACGAGTGTCCCCTCCCCGCGCCACTCACCCGCCCTTGATGTAGTCCAGGAAGGTGCAGTCGGACTCGACGGCGAAGGAGAGCAGCGTCACCTGCGCGGGGGACGCGGGCTCGGTGCCACCGTGCGGGACACCCTGACCCCCTGTCCCCCCGGCTCGTCCTTACCGTCCCCGAGTGCAGGTACTTCTTCTTCTTCATCTTCTTCTTGGGGTTCACCACCTGGTGCGACAGGGAGAGAAAGGGAGGAAGGGGAGGAGGAGGAAGAAGAAAGGGGAGGAGGAGGAAGAAGGGGGGAGGA